AAATAATCTAGGTCAGTCGAGTATTTTCGATTCCAATTAAATATATCAAAAGTCAACGTCAGGGATTTTTTTTTAAAAAAATAACAAAAATAAAAACAATCAGTTATAAGGAGAGCAAAATGAATTAACAGTACCTGCCCTAACGGTATTGTTTGAGGTACACGGTCATTATTTTTCTTTTCGATCTGCTACGCCAACAGAGCCGAGGGTATGAGCAAAATGCCTCTTCAATCGCCACAAATGGGAAGGTAAGGGGCGGGGGGGGGGGAAAGAAGGAGACGGGGGAGACACGTGAAGATTCATAATATAACGCTGTGGAAACGAGAGAAAGATTTTTTTTTCTCTCCTCTCCAAAGAAAAGGCGAGGCTTGCTGCTTTTTGGAAGGGAACCGCTTGGGAAAGGAAAAGAAGAAGAAGAAGGGGAGACGGGATGCTTCTATTTTTATATTTATAAATTCCATGGACTCCCAGGGTGCATCCGCTACTTTGGGTCTTTCTAAGATGGCAGAGCTGAGTCATGAGAAAGGCTTGCAAGTGGTTAAAATAATAAACTGGCTATTACATCTTCAGATTGAGTGAATCTGAGCAAAAAGGGGAAAAAATAGAGTAACCTTTTTTTTTTTTAAAAAAAAAGAGCAAATAAACCCCCCACATAGTGGAAGAAGGGCTACTGGAAGTGGGGGAAGGGTCAGGAGATTGTAATAAACGGTAACATAAAATACAGATCGGGGATGGTTATTTAATGCTACTTGGGGAGGAAAGGAGGAGGGGAAGAGGGGGGGAAGACAGAGGACGCGTTACAAATATACATGCTGTTGGAGAAGTAGGGTTTTTTTTTTTAATTTTCTTGCTTTTACTTCAAACAAAGCTCTGCTGAAGCCTGCGCGCGATCAATCTTGTCGGCCAAACGCTTTGACAGCTTCTGGCCCTTAAGAACACATTTAAAGCTTCTTGCTCTTCCCAGCATCAAATGTGGCTGAGCGAAAAGAGAGCAAGAAACGCAAGTAAACAAGGAAAGAAGACATGGCTGCCCTTCCTTTTCCCAAAAGGAGATTAATTTTATTTATTTTTAACTAATTAATTTATATGGTTTTTGCATTAAAATTAGGGGCTTCGGATTCTTGAGTTGCTATAAAGGTAGCCAGGCATCCTACGGTTTTTAAAAATGAAAACAGCCTTGCTTTTCTCTAGGAAAATTCTAGAGGAGTCTGCTTTTCTCCAGAATATTGGCGATACCGGTAAAATGTGTGTATAAGAACCCAAGAGTTGGAAACGGGAGGTAGGGTGCAAGAAGCTAGGGCAACTTGGTTCAACAAGGCTTTGTGAATCCAGTGAGTGTAGGAGGATTGTTACAAACCTTCCCCCCCCTTTTTTTTGTGGTGGGCTATCTAAAAGAAAAATCACCTGGAACAAAGAGGAGTCCCCCCCCCACTCCCATGTTTTTTTCGGTTAAGAAAAATGCATGCAATATTCTTCCTCCTCTTACATTTCTCTGAATGAGATCTAAACATCCTTACATCATTAGGATGTATTCACCAGACTCTTTCTCCAAGAAAAATATGCATAGATAAAAGGAAAGCAATATGGAGGGAAAGGATTTGAAATCAGACGGAGAGGAGGAAACTCTTTTCCTTATAAATTCTCATAAATTTGGTTTCCTATACACAAACCATCTCTTAGTCATGGGCTGGCATAAGGCAAGCCACTTCAGATACTGTACAGTTTTAGTGGGAAAATATGATCTCTATTTAATGTTCCAAAGGCTGCATTCCGGAACTTCAGATAGATTTTTTTCCCCTTCTCATCGTAAAGCTCTTTTAAATATTTTAGATTTTCTAATATTCTGAGCGACACATCTTCAAACTGGAACACACAACTGTAAGTATAAATGGAACTGCTTAAAATGAAGCTGTAGTACAGTGCCTGTAGAATACAAATTTATAATGCCGGGTAGTATATATTTGCACAAAAGGGAGCTTTTCGGACAGATATATAGGCTGCAAAGAGACGTTATTGGCACGTAAAATCTAGACAATTCTTACATCACCAGAGGTAATATTTCAAGAAGAGAAATCAACATGAGGAAATATTTCTTGATTCTAGAATAACAAATAGGTAATGTGAAACATTCTGCCTCTTTCATGTATGAAGCCATAATCATATTGGCTCCTTAGAATGCTCAACCCAATCGATATAACCAATAAACCCCACATCTTTAAATCACGAGCGTTTTTTAATGGGGAAAAATGCTATACCTAACCCCCCCCCACATACACACACGCTCACACATACTCTTTCACACACAAACATTATCCATGTTTGAATAGCACAGATCTATGCCGAGGACGGATTGTTGGCTGTTGTGGGAATACTTTCTTAGGGATACATCAAAACCTATTTTAAAATAGACTATTTTCTGGAAAAAGAAATTGAAATGCTTAAGTTCTAAAATTCCCCCTCCCCCTTCACCTAGAAAGGACGGGAAGGAAGGCGATGGGGAAGGAAGTTAGATTAACAAGCCGCTCAAAATGACAAAAACTGCTTCGCTTCCGCAACCGCCGACGAGAAGCAGCTCGGGTTCATGGAGAAGACCAGAATTCAGCTCGCGAACAGGCCTGGTTTATTATTGCTGAATCTGTTCCTTCATTATGGGAATGATGAATTGTATTTTGCCTGTAAACAAATATGTTTTGAGTTCGTGCCATACTAAATATGAGTCTAGGCTCGCCTCCTTGAAGCTTTCTTTCTACCGGTCTTCATTTAATTTTTGTCGCGTTTGGCTGTTTAGCTGAGGGTGTGTTTTTTTTCTTTCCCCTTTTCTAATTCTTTCCCATCACTCAGAGTTAACAGTGACGCGATTGTCCATTTTGTTCCCGTGAGGGAAGGTGTGGGAGTAAAAAAGAAAGCCCCCAATCTTTTCATGCACGATCTTCTCCATAGGAACGGGCTGGCCGCTTCCAGGGGGGAAAAAAGAGAAGAACAACCCAACATGGCGAAGGGGAGAACAGCCTGTAAACGAGAGCCCGCTAAGCCAGCCGGCCTCAGGAGGCGAAACGACCAGCACCTGAGCTTCGTTACAGCGAGGGGCTGCAGGCATTGAAGCAGCATTTCTTCCCCTTTCCTCATTTCCCGTTGACCACAGCAAACACAGCCGAGACGAGCAAGACAAAGGCCTGCGCCTATACCTATGGTTGCGTTTATGAACGCCGCCTGGAGATCTATCTGGACTCTTCAGCGTGGACATACAAGGAAGGGTCTTTTCCACTTTGGATCTCTGCAACGCCTCTAACCTCCCACTGTTAGTTGGGACCGACACACGATTCCGTTTTTGGCAGCCATGAAAAGCCCAGTGAGGAGAAATGAAGAAGATCTGAAGGGTGGATGGATACTGGAGATGCATGCATTTCAGACTCAAGAGGCATGAATGCCAGATGCTGTTTTCTCTCTCTCCTTCTCTTCTCTTTCTCTCGCGTTTTTTTTAAATAATTGTGTCTTAAGCCTGTGTTATTCAGAATAAAAACTTTATTTTTATTTTTTTCAGAATGCAAGCAGCAAGGAATGTATAACTTTCAAACCAAATCTAGTGTCTTTTTTGTTGTTATCCAGGTTTACACATTTTTCTGCTTAGTTCCGATAGTACGGCATCCACTTCTGTTCCTACACTGGCCTGTTGTTTGTCGCCCAGATTTTATTGCATTTTCTTTCTTTTTATTTTTAAATAAAAGAGTTCTAGTTCCCTTTTCAAATGATATTCC